TCGTTGAATCATATAATAAAACAATTATTGCTGTTTTTTTTTTCTGTCAGTACGATGATTTTCCACCATCGAAAAACAATGTTCTCCTCGCTCTTTGGGCTCGATAAATCTTTTACTCCTCTAGATTCTGAATCATCGCATTTACCTTAAAAGCAGCAATAATAATATTGTATAATGTACAGGTAATGAGATCAACATATCATCGATGTATTCCCAATTTAGCTCAGGTGAGCATTTTGGCCAAAAGGTCGCTTGATTTATTAATTTTATTTTGCCCCCTAGAAATTTCAGCTTTAATCCTCTTTAATCCACAAGGGGTCATTATTCTACGGGGGTCATTTTTCTTCACGTGGGGTATGCAGATTTTTAGGGTGATGACACTTTTTCTACGGGCAAAAGGGTCATTTTTCGACGTCGAATAATGACCGGGGGTCATTATTCGATGACGAAAGATGACCCCCGGTCATCATTCTATGGGGGTCGTTATACGTCTTTACACCGGACGCTAGACGAAGGAACAGACACTACGTATGTTTACGTCATAGGTTTGACGCGGAGCGGCGAACGAGAATCGAACTCGGGTCTCCTGATCATGAAGCGAGCACCCTACCATTAGGTACCGTGACCGGTACGACTATTGAAAAAAAAGATTATTTAATTAGTATAACTGCATAACAGTGCAGTTTTGAGGTTATGCAACAGTAATAATCGAAGGAAACTTGGGGTTTCCACTTTATGCCTCTAGGCCGAAATTTTTAAGAAATAGGGAAACTAGCACGCTGAATGTTGTGGCTCAAAGTCTTTATTAAATTATATATGGAGAGAGAGAGAGAGAGAGAGAGAGAGAGAAAAGCGTAATGTTATGTTAATGTAAATAGTGGTACTTTTGTGTATTATGAATGACAATACGTGTATTAGGTTATAACACTTTTATATTTCATTCTATTCTATCATCCCTAACAAAACCATGCTATTTAAATGAATCATTTATCCTCCAGAACAAATATTGATAATCACATTAATCATGGTCCTTTTCAAAGAGCAGTTTATTGTGTTGTTTAAGAGAGTTAATATCATATTTTTCTTGTTTTATTTCACTTTAATACTGTGTGTATATAAAAGGGGGCCATGTCTGATGATCGCAATCATATCAAATATGCAATACAAATCAAATGCTCAACCATGCATATCGAAGAATTCCTTTCATTTATCAAATAACTTTCTTTTTATGGATTTTCTACAGTAAGCTTTATTGTTCCCAGTAGTCCTTTAATAAAACAAGCTACTACAATGATATCACTATGAATACTTTTATTGTTTTTGGTCCTCCAGAAATGCTTTCTAGCAATATTTTGTTATACCTGACACCAGAAATTCAATATTTTTGTCTCAAAAATAAGGAGGAAGGAGTCCATGTTAATGAAGCTCAGTAGCTTTTCAAATATTTATCAATCATTCTTTATTCTTCAACTTCATACTCGGAATCTACTGCTATAGTTTAAAGTGCCATTCATGTAATTAACTAGACAATCATTTTAACTAGTTCTTAAAAACATGCATAAAAATTCATTTTCAAACATTGGTAGCATGATACAGGGCTTATTATATTTCATTAAGAATACATGTTTCGCATTGAGAAAGCAAAAGAAGTCGATCTTTTGGTGTTTCTTTATTTTATTTTAATAAGAATTTGAATGATTCGGTTACATGATAAAAACATACAAACAACGATAAAGTAAACGATTTTACAACTTGAAATACAGTACATGTATTTGTCAAAATGCCTCACTATACTACGTCCCTGAATATTCTGATTAGTAAAGAGGTAATTAAGTTGAGAAACAAAATGTTAATTGAATCTGAGGATTAAAAACGATCAATTTTTAGTATGCAGATAATTATCAGTGTAACATACGTAGGATTTGGAGGAACAGTGAAGGTAATGGAGTCTGTTTGTATCAACGGTTCCTCAAAATATGATCATACAAAACTTAATGAGTATAAATATCTTAATCTATATATCTACAGTAATATTATTCATCGGAACGCGAGTAATCAAAAGGTTTTAGATATTGATAGTTGACACTTAATTATTGACAAAGAACTCTGGCTGAATGCTTCTTCTAGGCGAAAATTACTTACATTACAATTTTCTGGATTTTTTTTTTCGAAAAAAAAAGTTGGTTAACAATATTCCTGAACACAGAGTAATGGAGTGTATAAAAGTTAAATTCTTGCCGTCTCGATGAAACGAAGAATCGAGAATTTTTAATATAATTTCAGATTGTGTTTTTTTTTTTCGCAGATTGACTTACACCATTAATCATAATAAAAATAATGTCAATTGGCTTCGTTTATTTTTCTTTGAAAGGTTGATTGAGAAAGTTTTCATCTTCTTTTTTCATTCTGAAGTAAAATAACGAACAGGCTATGGGTGTAGATTAAGATGGATGCAAAGGTCGCCCACATCTTTTTTAAGATAAGATGAACGCCAAAAGGTTCCTTAATTAAGAGAGGATTCATTGAAAAACTAATTGCATTGTTCTCGAAACAAGTTAACTCTAGAGGCATTCATCTTTGATAATTTGATAATGGTTTTTTTTTAAAGAAAAAATCTAATATTTTTTAGATGTTAAATTCAATTTACAGAACGATCTATTGCAATTCTTAAAATTCCAGTGACAAAAAGCAAGGTCCAAGAATGACTGAAAATTACCTAAATGGGAGCAAAACGACTGCACTCATAGATTTTGAAAAAGAAGATATACGCGTCCATATCCAGCAATAAGTTTATTTGTCCCCTTAAAAACACACAGTTTTGACGGCCATTTAAATTACAAAAATCTTTAGTGTTATGAGTAGAAAGGACATATTCGTAATGATATGATGCTTTATATTATTCTTTTCGGAGTACTTGTTATATACTGATAAATATCATTTAAACATATAACTTTAAAAATGATGAATGATGATAAAAATGGTCATGAATTTTGCTTTAACTCTACCTGAATTAATGATCAAGGATTTATAAATATACAGTAAAAAAAAAATTCTCTAACCTATCTGGGTTTGTATATTTTTTAATCATAGCAAATTACTGCAACGGAACCGTGTACCTTGCCCTAGGTTCCTATCAATAGCGGGTAATAGGTGTTTCATTCTAATTCAGATTTACTAGCACCCTGTATCTCACCTCGGTACCCCGAGATTCTTACCACTGTTGTAGATCCATTTCATTGTTGCAGACCTATTTCATTCTACTCTTTAACAGTCTTTCTTCTTTATCAATTGCTTTTATTCTGGCTTACCAACAGCCGCTCTGCATCAAAACCTCAGTGCGGTCTATCATATGCCCTTCAAAGTAGTCTACTTTGAGGGAGGACAGGTTATTCCATTTTATCCCTTAAAGAAGGTGGACTATGCGTTTTCAATAATCATTACAAATATTTAAGCATCAATTAACAGAATCTCACTACATGTATTTGACATCCACTTCAGGATTTATTGATACTCCTAAAAGAACAGGAATCATACATGTACCAATATGTGATTGTCAGTTAAGGCATGATTGAATGAAGTCAAAAGTTGTTTAAAAAAGAAAAAAAAAACTTAATCGTGTTCCCTCAAAGGACAAAAAATAGCATTTTATTCTAATCCTGTTGTTCAGTTTTAAAATGATATAACCTGATATAAAAACAATATACAAGTGTATTTTATATGAGATTACATAAAAGTATAGCTTTCTACTTTGGCTTTGGGACCTTATAAAAAGTAAATATCAATTCTTGAAGGAAATAAATGAAAATGTTAATAGATAATACAACCAATTGCATACGTCCTTTGTGAATATAAAACCGCTAAAGTGTAATGGAATTAACAAATTAATGGTATGCATGTATATACATGCAAATAAGCAATTATATAACAGATTTTTTTTTCAGACGTCGAGACATCGGAACAGGAAGTGAACAGATATTGGCTCTAGCTTTATGTCATCTAAGGAAATATACAGACGATACTGGAGAACTATTTTAGAGCCTATACATGTTTACAGGCAATTACTCGAATCTCTATAATAGATTTTATGCTAATAAGATTGATAAATTGTATCAAATATTGACAGGGTAATGAATATTCAACGCGTTTGTCTAACCCTAACAGACAGGAATTCGGCATTAATTCAATAGCAAACCAATTCCAATCAACAATGAACTGCGTTTTAAATTGTATTGTGTTTTGAGTGTTTTCATTAAATTCATAACCTCTTTTGAAATAAAGTAAATATATGTATATAAAAATGAAAAGAATATTTCATGACGGCATTACCAGAAGTCTACGTCAAAGCAACTTGTCTATGAATTTCGAAATAAAATGTTACATGTTCATCGCTCGTCATTGACTTATCTAAAACGTTACTTAGCTGATATTTTTAAAGAACAACTACAGCCTACATGTTTCTATAGCAGCAAATAAAGAAGTTAAGACTACACCTGTTTTCAACATAGCATAAAATAAATTAACAACTCTCCATTAAGGAATCATTCTGCACATCGAAATAATGTTACTCTCTTCCATAAAGGCAGACGCTTTTACAGTTTTTCACTCCAATTAACAGAAATGGGTAATTTTACAATTACGTCATTACAGGTTCAAAACTATACCATGTTCATATCATATGATCTAATGATAAACCGTTTACAAATGTATAGCTGCTAACTTATCGTTATTTTGTTATGTAAGTGGGTTGTCTTTCCTTAGGTCTCTTCCTTATAGCGGCGATTTACGAAAAAAGAGTATTATTTAAATATGGTATCTTTTTTTTTTCTTTTCTTTTTTTTTTTAGATCTGATGGTAATTGGAATTTTTTTTGCTTGACAAGATGTGTTTGAAAAAGGTCTGAAAATTGTCAGCATCATACACTTACTCCAAATATACACGTGTAAGACCAAAAATAGATGAAAAGTTGACACTTCAATCAAAAAGATGAAAGTTTTCTTTACCCATTGTCTGATGGTTTCTCTAAACTGAAGTAGTCAAAAGTGATCTGCACTTTTCCGCTGGGTGAGCCGTGGAAAAAGTAACTGCACATAACGCTGTCCGGGTACTCCCGGGGGAAGCTCGGGGAGGCGAACATACCTGTACTTGATGTTTTATAGCTAAAGGTGCGGTGGCAATCTGCATAAAGGAAATGAAACTTAAATGAAATAGAAAAATTACGAACAGTATTCAAGCTCAAATGTCCATTCAAACAATACAAATCAGGAACAGAGCAAACACGGGCCTCTTAAACATCAGAGGTGGGATTAGATGCCATGAAGGAGTGAGCATCCCTTGCCGACCTGTCACACCCGCCGTGTTCTCCTTCTCTTGATCGGAATGTTATTATTCCCGTTCTTACATTACCTGGTTTATGACACAATTTCTTTTATTCTTTCTTTTTTCACGCAATTCAGTTTACTACAATTGCCAATTCTAGTCAATAGAAATTAATGGTAACTCTATACGAGCTGTTGCCTGCTGCATTATATGAAATAACATTTGCAACAATGTTATGTAAAGATTAATTGTTGCTGAACTTGTAATTTTAATTTACAACATTTCAGAAAATATAAAGTGGTTACATTTCATTCTTTTTAATTGAATCAATTTGATTCTTAAAGACTTTGAATTCCAATAAATCTTACAGGGAAAGCTGATTACATTTTCATCATTTATCAAATAAGGTATGGGTCCATCACATGATATTTGATTACATCTCCACTAGGGATTAAAAATCTCCTCCTAAATGCAAGAATTAAAGCAACTGTAATTGATGAAATGTCTAGATCCATGCATAATGGACGCTTTGTCTGAAAGTTGTTTAATTTAAATTGAAATAGTCGAAGAAAGAGTGAACCATCCGCAGGAGAAAAAAAGGCTCGAAAGTCATATAAAATACACGTAATTTTAACTATGTTTTCCAAAAATCTCTCATTCTGCTTAAAAATGAATCCAGTTGGAATCTGATATTGTATTTTAAAAAAAAATCTTATTCAATTTTCTTTCTATTATGCATGACACAGATTGTTTTTTCTTATTTCTAATTTTATGAAAATAATTTCTGGTTTCAAACAAGAAAGAGGATTTTTCAATTCAGTCATGAAAAGGGCCATATAAACAACTTTTGTAATGCAGATTTTACTTTTTCAGTAAATTATATGTTATTTGCCTTTACTATTTATGAATGTTGAAAAAAGTATTGAATTTCAATTATTCGGGTGTTTTGAAAAAATCACCTGTTTAAGAATTTTTCTTACTTTTAATTGTATTACTCAAGAAAACAACTGACTGCAAACTCCCCTACGCCCTCAAAAATATAACTTTTAAATGGAAAAATGAAAGCCTGGAACATATATTCTCCAAACTCTTGGATATTTTTTTTTTGGTTTAAGGTTCATCATTATACAATACATAATTGAGTTTTAATTCAAATCTTTTATTAAAACTTCTTTAAAATATCCCTTAAAAAGGGCAACCAGTGTTTGATAATGAACAATAACTTTTTTCATATTTGTTTAATAAAATTGACACATATATCAAGAAAATTTGCTTTACTTTGCTGTCCTGGATAACATTAGCAACATATATTTACTATATCTAGATCAGTATGTCAATTATTTCAATGTTATTTTCTTTATGTAGTGTATTAATACTAATTTTCCGGATCTGATTACTATTATTGATATCTCTGAAATACCACTTCCGTTAACTGTTGGCCCGGTTAAGTGTTCAATGAAACGTTATTAATCATTTGAATAGTTTTTTTTTCTGAGATTATCAGATCAAATCTTTCTTAGAATCAGATTAACGCAGTGTGTTATATTTCTTGATTATTGAAATAGTTCTACAAACCCAGAAATATTCTAAATTAAGTAAGGTGAAAAATATTTTTTTTCTTTAACCAGAAAGGCATATTTTTGATCTCCAATATATGTCCTTTGTTTATATTTTCCCTAAAATTTCGAAGAAATATTTACAAATCTATGAAATGAACTCTAAAAGAAACTTTATTATATTACTCTTCACGCAAGTTATCTTATTAGTACACTTTTGTGTCTTCTTATGGCACTGATTCTGAATACTGAAGAATGCTAATGAACATTAACAAATTAGAATCACAGAATGATTGACATGTTTCGTTTGATATTTTGTCAAAGATAGATAAAAACGGAAGAGTTTGCTTTTATTCTTCTCCCGGAGCATTCTTTCCTTTAGATAAAAAACCAAATGGATGATGACCACTAACGGAGGACCTCGATTGATTGGGTATGATTCCTGTCCGTTAGCCTGGGGAATAGATGTCAGATGTGATTATAAACTACTCTGCCAGAATAATGGTCCAATACAGCGCCTGTCATGGAGTTTCCAATCCAAATAACCTTTTAAGCAAAGGCAAATTAACTGTAGTTAGGTTGTTTAGTTGCCTAGTACGTTCATTATTATAGACGTAAACATGCTTGTGAATGTGATTATTTCTAGATGAAACTGAAAAATCGTCAACAATAATTATTATAATTCTGTTTTTAGAAAAGAAAATCGCTCAGGTTATTGTACAATGTGATGTAAAATGAAAGAGATAACTCTTTGTCCATCTTACCTTTTTCATCAAAGCAACGCATATCAAAGTCCCAGTGCGCAGACTTTATACTATAACAAGATTTTTTTTTTTTTGAAAAAGCTGAGATTAATATATTAGATTAAGCAAATCATTTCAGCAAGAAGTTTTATCTTCAAAATAAAAGGGACAAAATTTTAGATATAAAGCTAAAAACACTTCCGTGATAATGTTTGTATCTACCACTTTTTTTAAATGCATATTGGTATTGCAATTATTATCTATTAGAAGCCCAATTGTAGACATCGCCTAGGGTAATTTCATCGTGATATGCAAACACAGTTTTGTTTTTAGATACTACTAAATAAAACAATTATACCTGAGCTATTTTTCACTTGGTGATGATCCCCCAAAGGTCGGTCTGATGGCCCTGCAGACGCAACAATCACAGTCTGAAGCAATAAGCCAAATATCATCTTTCCATTTCAGACCAATTTCTTGCTGATTTTATCATCTGATTTCACACCATGAGCCAAATATACAGCCGTTTTCAATAAAAGAATACTTCGTCTGTGGTCCATCGAGCTATTCCTTTGTTTTGCGAGGACCTGAAGTAAGAGAGAAGTCTAATATAGCAGTCTCATCTTCGTGATAAGTGGTGTTGTAATGGACCCTTGATGATAAATGGGAGCATAATAGACCTCAATGCTGGGATCGGATATGCTAGGCGAAAGACTACCCCGACATTGAAATATAAGTTTACCACAAAAAGGCGATTCTGTCAAACTCTAAAGCTCTGAAGAAAATCTATGTAGGAGATCTCTTTTAAAATCAATATGGAAAGATGGCTAAATATCTGGAGAGTACATTTGTCAATATATCTTCAAGTAAGAAATATGCACAACTCTCATGCTAAAATGTTAATCAAACAAATGGCAATGGAATACTTTCATTGTTTTCATTTATGTGCATTTCATTTCTATATCTAGATTCATTTTATTTATTCTCAAGAAAATAAAAAAATGAAAATGATGATTTTTTTTTAAATTGGGGAATATATCCTTAAAAAGTTACAGGACCCCTTTGTAAATTACAGAAGATTTATGAGCTTGAAAAATAATTGGAAAAAACATTAGCTTATGTATAGATACTCTCAAGTCGACGTATCGCGAATGCTATAGATATGACAGTAACTTTGGCAATACATTAATGTTAAATTTTATTTTCAGCAACCATATTTTTCGCTTGAAGCTTGTCGTGCTTAAAAGAAATATTCCTTAAGTGACTACCAAAATTATTCTTTCTGTGCTGTATGACAAGGGCAACAGATCCAGTAATTTTACCCTTTAGATTTGTAAATTATATTTTTATTGATGAAACTTCCACGTCAATAAAGAATAATCCTAATAAGAAACGTTGCCTGTTTTTTTTTTTTTTTTTTTTTTTTTTTTTTTTTTTTGTTAAGGAGAGACACTGCCAAGAGGAAAGATCCATAATTGTATTAAAGTCCTAATTATCGTATAATTGCGGTAATTGTTTCCAGTGAGGATTCTTTCATGGTCGTGTCTTATATTTCATATTGTCACGCAATTGCACACACCAGGCTATATTTCAATTCTATGTATCAGTAATCGAAGAGAAGTACAGAAACGTGAGCAGTTTTCTCAAGAATCAGGGGTCCGTTTTACAAAAGAACTTACGACTAAGACCAAAATTTAATTCTGTTTATAACTTTTTAATTTACATCACGTTGAAAATGGTTTTAATCTTTTTAAATGGAATGTAGTTAGATATTTTTACGCTAGCAATTTTAAACGGAATCATTAATTTTGCAAAATTTTACAATCAACTTAAGTTTTCGGTCTTAGTCGTAAGTTCTTTTGTAAAACGGGCCCCAGGCATGTAAGAGAAACCGGATACAGATTTTATATATCTTTATAGATAACCTACACACTCTAATATTCTCTTATATTCTGATATCCCATATACTCTGCAATAGTTATCCAACATACTTTAGTACTCTGTACGGATATACATATAATGTACTTAGTAACTCTGTTCAGATATCATTGATACTGTAAATCTCTTTACAGATATCATACATACCTTGATACTGTTGACCGCTATAATACATAAAGCAATGCTCTATACAGATATTTATGGTATCCGGATAGGGCCATTTGCAAAAAGCTCAACAGCGCGTTCAGAAAACACGCCGTCGCGCTAACATACAACACGCCTAACAAATCATTGAACAACACGCCGTCACGCTAACACAAGTTCGCACAACACGCCGTCGCGCTAACACACAACTCGCCGTCGCGCTATCACAAAGTTGTGTTAGCGAGTTGTGTGACAGCGCGACCGCTTGTAGTGTAAAGTTGCGTTAGCGCGACAGCCTGTTGTGTAAAGTTGTATTAGCGCAACAGCGTGTTGTTTGAAAGCGTGTTAGCGCGACGGCGTGTTGTGTATAAGCGCGATGACTTGTTTTGTATAAATGTGTTAGTGTGATGGCGTGTTGTGTGTTAGCGCGATGGCGTGTTTTTCTGAACGCGCTGTTGAGCTTTTGCAAATGGCCCTATCCGGACACCATAGATATTATATATTCTGTGCTATTCTGTACAGATTTTATACATATTGTACTACTCTGTACAGAAAATACACAGAATGTGCTATTCTGTGCAGATAGCACACACATGATAATTACATGTAACGCTCTTGACAGATATTCTACATACTATGTCACTCTTCGCAAATAGTATATAATTACTAGATGAAATCCCGCGCAAGCGCGGGGAATTGAATTTATACCACTACCGACAGAAAATATATTGTAGTTTCTGATGACAGCCTACAGGCTTATAGCAGGAAGAAATACTTTGTTCAAAATCCCGCATGAAGTAAATGTACGTCTCCACCCCCACCCCCCCTCCCCTTTTGTAAAATAAAAATAACAATTTCATTAATTGACGTTTATTGAGAAACCTGTTATACTATATTATGGATATTGTACTTCAGATGCTGAGCTCTTATTACATTTCCTTACTGATAAATTAATTTTCGGGGGGGGGGGAGTGGGGGGGGGGATAAAAATCCACAGGTACTTGGGTCTTGGTTTATAAATATGTTTGTACCTTATTGATATGTAAAGAATGTACTTGTTTTTTACATAATAAGGTACATACATATTTATAAACCATGACCCGAGTACTTGTGTAAAAAATTAGCTTTTAACGCCCTCTGAATAGGTCGAGTATTTGATACAAAAGACTGTATTCAGAAAAAAAAACTGAAAAGTATTGATTAAAGCACAAAATTTTACATCTTTAAGTATATTTGAACAATACATTATTCATTATTTTTTTCTTTTCATGTAAGCAAGTTATTACGAAGTATAAATTGTACTTCGGGTTAGTTGCCACGATGCTCTCAGTAAGGAATACAATACAAATTACCGATAACTTTATTAGGAAAACCTTTTATATACATGTATGTTTAATAGTCTTTCGATATATAAATATCACAACTTATATTGTGTTATCGATGATTTACCATTATTTCAATGACCATTCACACCACAGCTTTTTTTATGTTCATGCAGCTATAAAATCTAATTGTCTCGTTTTTCTCTTTAACATCGGGCTCGATGCTATATGATGCTCTAGAAGCTTCCGTCAATATTAAGATCGGTGAATGGTGAAAATGATTTGCACATTTCCCTTTTAAATCGGTTATCACAACTTATTTCTTTTATATCATTTCAATCAAGTTTTGATTGAATGATTCAGTGATGACGTTTTATGAAATAAATAAACGGTTACTTGTTGTCAGTTTCATTAAATATTGCCAGTAACTTAGATCCGCCATCCGGAAACGCCACCGTACTCACGTTTTTGCTATTTCATGACAGTTTATAGAAAATAAAAGTAGACTTTTGATTTAATGTACGATACTTACTATCCGATTAAAATCTGAATATAGTTTACGGACATCATCTTGTATCTAGTGCATTGTTAGAGGAGTAAGTAAGAACTCTGGAGCACCCGTTTCGGAGTTTATTTGCAAAATTTATTAATTTATAAGTATAGATACCATAGAAATACTGTACATAGAGATAGTGTAGAGATAGTGTCACTCCGAGCAGATATACGTACTGTGGAAATCTGACCAACACACACACACACACTGTACTACTCTGTATCAATATTATAGATTCTGTACACTCAGTAGTTATTGTACATACTGTTCTACTCTGCACACATATACATATTCTGCATTCTGCTAAGACTTGATACATATTGTGCTTCTATATGCTGCTCTGTAGAGACACAACATTTTCGCTACTCTGCACCTCTGGAAAAAAACAAACATCTAATTCAGTAAGTTTGTCCATTTTTGCAAAAGTTCTGTTCTTTTGAAAGACAAAAGACTATAGCTAGCAACACCATCAATGCCACATCAATAATAGAAATCAAAATTCGAATGGAATCTTTTCCAGGTGTGGAATAACATGACAAGTTAATTAGCTATAAAGCAAATGAAATAGCAGCATTAGCTGAATTTTCTCACTAGTTATGCACTTACGAGAAAATTACTATCTTTCATGTGGATTTCTCTTCTAGCTCTCATAGACTGTTTTATAGGTTTCTATGTTTTTCATTGTAAAGCCGTCTTCCACTTAGAGTTTTTTAAATTGAGCTTCGGTTCTTATGACCCCCTCTAAAGACATAATGGACTTATTTTTGTTCCATTTAAACCTTTCACTAAGCCAGTAAGTCAGCAGAATATAAATGCTCACGCAACAAACTATAATTTTTGGCAATTTGACATCAATTTTAAAGACCACCCTTAAGGCAATCATTAATGTTTTTGTTTGTTTGCCGATTCCAAATCTCCGTCACATTTTTCAAGGTAGATAGTAGGTAATTGTACCTTTGTTTTTTTTTTGTTTTTTTTTTTTTTTTTTTGAATTATATCTACCATATTGATAATCGTAAATAAAATCATATATTGACGTTTTCAATACAATGTATACATGGTCAAATAGACAGATTTCATATTTATTGATGTAAAAACTTTCAATCTAAAATCTTTTTTGAGAAATGATAAACCTTAACTGAAAATAAAACGGACAATTTGTATTTCCCTGGAAACAAACAAACAATAAAACCTTATGTTCCAAAATAAATATAGGATATTGGTGATTTTGACGAGTCTTATATACAGAGGATCTACATCAAAGATTAAATACACGATATTTTCTTTCAAATTTATAGTAGAATTATACAAAAGTTCAATGTATTTCAATTATTTTACTCTGCCATGATTTTACTCATCAAAACACAAGCATCAATTTATTAAAATACTCATGAGCCATAATGAATACATTTCATAAAATAAGAAAAAGTCAAAATGAGCGAGATTTCAAGTTAAAAGTACCCTCTTTTTTATATCTACACCTCTCTCTCTCTCATTCTCTCTCTCTCTCTACTAGTATATATTAGCCGAGGAATTTCCTTGATCAATATTGCAATAATACTATAATAGCAATCTAAAAGAAAAGAGAAATTCTTACTATACATTATATAAGGAATTATTTGTCTAATTATAGATCTGGTTCTTTTTATGAGATATAGAAACCTTTTCGTTTTTAAATCAATACCAGAAGACCGTTATTATTGAAATTGTATTTTTTGATAGTGAACTTATAAATAAAATTCCTATAAACAGAGTTTCAAGAATTTCAGCCATGAAACTTAATTTTACTGGAATTGTTTCAAATAAATATTTCTGTTCTTTTGAAGTGCACTTCTACAGAAGGGAGTCTATTACATAAAATAAAATTACTTATGAATCGAATTGCGAAAGTATCTTTTCCTTGAGATTTTTGTCAAAGCTTACACAATAGAACCTGTC